GAGGCTGAGTGGGGGGCAGGGAGCCGCAGAGCGCCAAGGCCATGCTGAATGCCCGTTCTAGAGAATTCAGGGGCCCCATCTAGGGTTTCTGGGGTGCCAGGGCGGCCTGTGCTCGTGAGCTGGGGTCTCCGGGCAGGCAGGGGCAGGCAGGCTCCCAGATCCCTGCCAGGAGGCTGCACTGCGGGTGCGCCCCGTCTGAGTGCAGATGCAGGTGGCTCGGGGCTGGATCGGGGGATCCTTGCTGGTTGCTGCGGCGGAGGGGGCCCCTGGGCTCGGGCGGGGCGCGCAGCCGCCACCTGCCCTAGCAGGAGGAGCCGGCCACGCGGCGCTTGGAGCCTCAGCCAGATCCCGAGCGCCCCCCGGTGCCGCGCTGGAGCCCCGGAGCCCCCGCCAGGTGCGGGACGCACGGAAGGCCGGCTGGGCCAGGCCGAATCTGGGCCAGGCCTGGAGCCTGCCGGGGCTCCGGCCGCCAAAGGAGAGAGAATCAGGGCGGGAAACACAGCTCAAATCCTACCTGCATGGCCGAGCTCACCGGGGTGCGTCTAAGTAGCTCGCCTTTGCGGCCCACCCAAAATATCCGGATAATGGTTACCCCGTCCTCAGTGCGTTGGACTTGCATAGACGCGAGTTCAGTCTCGGGGGTCACCACGATAATTTGGGGGTCTGGGGAAACCATCTCCTGGAGAGTTTGAACGATGTAAGAAAGCACTGTGATTTTTATCAAGTCAAAACCACGCACAAAATCCCGCACCCCGCCAGCCCCCCGCCGCCAAAGCCTGGTTAAGGGGAAGGGGCCGCCGGCGGAAACTCGCGCCCCCCGGGCCCCCCTCGCCCCCCTCGCTCCGCCATCAATCACTTCGCCCGCGCTCCGCGCGCGCCTCCCGGCGGAGTCCTAGGCCCGCGGGCTAGAGACGCTTTACCGCCCGGCGGGAGCGCCTCTCCTCCGCGTCCCTTTCCGCAGCCCCCTGCCCGCCCCACTTAGGGGCCCTCCAGCCGCTTTCCCCACAAATGAGATCTTTGCAATAAGCAAACGAAAGTGGCGCGGATTTCGGGGCGCCCAGCTGGAGCGAGCGCAGCCGCCAAGCCTCAAGTCCGCAGCCGGGTCCCGTGCCCCACGCCGGCCTCTCCGGCGGCAGCCGGATACGAGCGCCAGCACCGGCGGGACAGCAGCAGATGAGGGCCGGGAGCCGGGCAGGGGCGCAGAGGCGGCGGGGACCGGCGCGGCGGGGAGCTCACCGCGAGGCTGGAGGCTGCGATCGCGGGCGCACCAGGAGCTCAGGCGGCGGGCGATCGAACGCTCTGTGGCGGGCGGTGGACGCTGCTGAAGGTGAGCGAGACCCCGGGGCCAGTCCTCAGCGTCCGGGAGCAACGCCCAGTCCGTTGGAAGACCCGAGGACAATGACCAAATTTGGGGGAGACTGGGGGCAATGCCCGGTCGCTTTCCTGGACGCAGGGAAGCCCTGTCCACGTCCTGAGGGCGCGCGGCCGACCCAAGTGTGTTTGGGCAACGCTAGAGAGATATTTCCCAAATCCTAGTTGCTCTGGGGACTTCGTAGGAGAAAGAAAGGCCCGAAACCAGTGCCCGCTGTGCGCGGGGTTGGGGAAGCTGCAGTGGGCGGCCGTCGATCCGGGAACAATGCCCAAATTTTGGGGAACGCAAGGCAGAGTTCTTTCTGCCTTGCGGGCTTAGCGAATGGGTGTCCTGGAGGAGGAGACCCCGGGGACTCCGTTAATGTGGGAACCTTGATTAATGACTAAACCTGAGACTCCACAAAAATAGATTACAGGTTTGGGGGATGAGGGAACTTGCTCCATGCAATTGGGAACATAGAGAAAGAGGTCTAAAATAGGGGCCAGCTAGCTTGGGGGACCCAGGAAATCCCAGACCAATTTTTGAGGAGGGGTAGTTAAAGGAAATTCTCCATATGAAATTGGGAGTTTTGCCTAAGAGGCACATTGCCTAAAATTGGCAGATGAAAGCAAGGGACACATTTTGGGGATCCAAACACATTCTTGGTGTGTTAGAGGGAAGCTGAGATTAATTTTCACATCTTAAGAATACAAGTTAGTCGCCTGGACGCTGGCAGCATGCGGAGAAAAGTAACTTTCATAATTACTGTGGCTTCAGGGAAACATTTTAATGCCCTTCAGAGATGGAAGAAAGCACTGTCTAAATTTTGGGGGAGCCTGGAGAGTCATCAGTACATTTGGGGAAAACAAACAAAAAAATCAGCATTCTTTTTCTATGTCAAATTTTAAATTATTTCCATTAGTTTATTTTTGGTAAATAAGAAAAATGCTATATATTTTCCTGGACAGTGTCTGCATTTAGGGAAGCCCCAGTGAAACACGTTTCAGGTTTTTGGGACACTTGGAAATTACCCAATGGAGATTTGATATCTAAATGTCTGGGAACCTGGTTAGTAGCTAGGAAACTTACAGGTCACAGGTTTTTTCATGCCTGGGATTTCTGGAACCCAGGGACATTTTTTAGTGTGCTTTGGGGGTCCATGGAACATTTTCTAAATGTAGGGGGACCCAGTGCAGAGATCATAAAGTCAGGAGACTCATAAATCAGTGTTTTAAAAAATACCTCAATTGTTTTTGTGAAGGGAAAAAAATCTCAATTTGCTTGGAAGGCTGGGAGACGATACCTCAATTTGGGGGCTCCAGGAAAATCACTTTTGAATCTAAAGATCTAGGGAAGTCACTCATAGTCCTTGGAGGACTTGTACGTTTTAGGTATGTATGTTTTTGAGAAAGGAGATTCAGCGTTCCTATGTCTTAGGACTTAGGAATTTTCAGATTTTGTGATAGGGAGTGTACAGTGTGTTTGAAGGAAATATTGCTTAACTTTCAGATGACTCAGTGGGTTGTTGGAGCCCAAGAAATCGGTGCCTTCCTCTGATCCGAGGGCAATGCCGAATATTTCTAGAGGGCCTGGAGAGCCGCGTCCAGAACATCCAAGTATGGGGGACCAGGAAGAGGGTCCAGTGTGATCCTGGCCATTGCGGTTTCAGACCAATGCCTGAATTTTGGAAAAGCAAGATTCTTGTGGCGAAGCTCCTGGGACCCAGAGAATTGTTTAATAGTCAATGTTGTGATGCAGAGAAAATGCTCAGAATGTTTGGGAGCTGGGGCCGTTAGCAACACCTGGCATAACAGAAATAAAAATAGCCTCTGCCCAAAGGGTTCTTTTGTGCTTGGTTTAGCCCAGAGGGACCGGTGAGACCCTGTGTGATTTGGGGGACCTGGAGAATCCTGGGTCACACTTGAGCACCTCCTGGTAACTGCTCAGTGTGTTCCAGGGACCTGAGTGGCAGTGTCTACACGTAACGGACTTGATTCATAGCCAAGCAGCGTATAGAGCCATAGACATTAATGCCGCAAAGCTTTGTGACTCACACACCCACAACATTCTCAATAGGTTTTGGGAATCATTGGGGAACTCTCTCCATTTTATGAAACTCAGGCAATCAGAGGGCAGGTCGTTTTTGATTCAGAAAAGGATTGAATGTGCTCTGGGTGTAATGCCCGAATTTGGGGGAAGGTATGGGAAGGAATTTTCATACTCTGAGGGTTCCAACCTTCCAGCCCTGCTCAGTGTCCTGAGGGACTTGGGATTCAACGTGTAAAATTTAGGGAACCCAGGTTAGCGCGAATAAATTTGCAGAACTAAGTAGCAAATGTCCCATGCTGAGGTGAAGGGGAAGGGTGGGGTGGGGGCGCGGAATGGGGCGGAAATGTGGGGGAAACAGTAAGCTTAGGAGACCCTGGAGTTAATTTTCAAAATTATGGGGGGAAGGTCCACTTGTTTGGGAAACAATGTCCAAGTGTGGAAAGGGCACTGTCCACATCCTGGGGAACCAGGCAAATTGGTCAGCGCGACCACCACGGACCAAGGGCTTCGTCTTTAAAATTAGGGAACCCGGGTTAGTAGTCTGTAAATCTGTGGGACCTGGGGAGGGGTGTATAAAACTGTCCAGAGCCTGGAAGAAAGCAAATCTGGGGACCCAGGCGACATAGTGTAAGTCTGGAAAAGCCAGCCCGGGCTGGTGTGTTTTGACGTCCCCGGAAATTAATGTCCAAGAAAATTCTTGTGACCCGTCGAAATGCTGAATATATTTGGAAGACTTGGGAAGCAATGCTTAAATTTAGAGGATCCCAGAACAAGTAAAATGTCCGAGTTTGGGGAAAGCAGGGAAGTTGTTCAGTGGATTGGGATCCCCCGAGGATCAAAGGCTAATTGTTGAGCTCAAGCTTCCCGGGCCGCGGAAGGAAGGCGCTGCCCGGGATTCACCTTGACTGGGGCGCGCGCGGAGCACTGGCGCCCTCCCCGGGGAACGCGAGCGCGGGCGGCGCGGGCAGGTAGCGCGGAGCGCCCTGGCGCGCACGGCCGGCTGAAATTCTGCTTTTCGGTCTTTGGGTTTTTTCTTTCTTTCTTTTCTTTTTCTTTGCCTTCTCCACACGGAGAGCGCGTTTGTGGCGGCAGCCCGAGCTTAGCGGGCGTCTGGGTGGAAGGAAGAAACCCAAAGGCCGCGAGGGAGCGACCAGCACGCTGCTTCCCGGGAGCTCCCGGGACTCCCAGCTACCTGCTCGGTCCCCGCGTGGGAGGTCCGCAGGCTTCCCCTCGCCACTGCGCCCCACTCGCCTCTGCGCTGCGAGCCTAGGCGAAGCCGCGGCCGAGCCGCCACCGGGGGCAGGCTAGTCCCCGGCTTGGCTTGGGGGCCCGGAGCACCCCCGGCGGCCACCCCCGGCCCGCCTCGGAGCTTTGCGCGCGCCGTTCGGGCCTTCGCCAGCACCAAACAAGGGTGAAACCAGTTTTGTTTGGGTAACACTGAAGAGAAGAGGAAGTGGGGAGGAAAATGAGAAACACGGGGCCGGTGGGGAGGGGGGTGCAGGACTGCACGCCGCTGGGGTGCCAGGCGTCTCTTTTCGTTCTCTCCAAGCGAATTTTCAGGGAAAGCCTGTCCACTCAGGCTGGGGAAAGCCCAGTTCCTTAAAGGCAAATATTAAACCCGCTTGCAGGCGCCCAACCGCACCGTCAGCAGGAACAAGGTCACCCCTTGGCGTTGGGCAATGTCGGGCGATGGGGCAGTGGCCTTAAGGGGACCTGTGGGGTGGGTGGGGGAACTGCCAGAGAGGGGGCACCGCTGGGGACCAGCAGAATGGTGTGGGATCTTGGGGCAAGTACAGTGGGCACTGCTTGTCACCATTGTCACCCCATAGGAGGACCCCCGCTAGAAGGGGGGCATCTCAAAGCCTGGCACTGGGGAGGCAGAAGTTAACAGCCTTGGACAGGTGTGGGGAGCTGGGCAGGGTGAGGCATCTCTTTCACATTAGCTTGGCAAGACGGAGAGAACCCCCCCACCATGAAAAACAGTCCATTTTCCACCCAGAGCACAAGACACATGGGAATGTCCCCTTCAAATTTCTGTCTGCATCAATCACCCCCAAGTCCCATTCCAAGAACATCTGGCCCATCTACCCCCACCCATCACTGGCCCCCTTCCCACCAGCCTTCTGCAGCCTCCCCGTTTCCCAGCTCTCTGGCCGCTCCCGCCCGTGTCTATAGAACAGGGAGCCTCCAGCAGAGAATCCCCGACTGTGTTGATGTTTTCCTCTGCAAGGTGACTTGTAAATTTGGAGGTGAGGAGCATTTGAAAAGTGCCTGTCTGCAAACCTGGATCCTGGGAGAGCAGACTAGGTTGCTGAGGCTCCTGTCATTGACAAAACCAGGGCCCCCAGGGCCAGCTCTGGGCTCCCCACTCCTTTTCCTCCACGCCTGCTTCCCAGGCTGGGGACAGGATGGGCACTGGGGGAGAGCCCCAGTTCCGAGTTGTGGACTCTCCTCCTCTTTGGGGGTGCTGGGGACAATTACACTAGTGACCTGTTTGGGGGTCTCTTCCCCTTGTTCTACCCTGCAGAGGTGCCTTCCCCCAAGGAGCCACCACTCATGCTTGGAGACACATGCCTGGACTTTTTGAGGTAGGAAGAAGGCTGAGGTCACCTTGGGGTGTCCACAGCAGGGTGTAGTGGCCCTGTAGGGAGGGAGGAGCAGGTGGGGAAGTAGGGGGACACACATGTTCCCCCTCCCTCACGGGGCTGCCTGCTGAGTACTCTCCTTATTTAGTCAAAAGTGACCAGGGCAGGCTGGAGGCTGGGGCAGACCCGGGTTGCCCTGGGACTCAAAGAGCACACTGGCTGCCCCCTAGCCAAGACCAGCATCCGGGTTCTTCCCCAAGACCGGCTCCTTCCCTACTACTTCCAGACCCCGGAGGTAGGAAGGGTCCCGCCAGCAGTCCAAGGGTGTTGGGAGGGGGCTGGGGTCTCCTCCCGCCCAGAGCTTGGCTGGCAAGAACTTTAGCCCCAAGCAGCACCCTCCCCCAGCCCTGACCCAGCACCTCACCAGGGCAGCGCTGGTCTCCTCTCCACTGGCAAACCCAATTTCCACAGAGAATGAACATCCCCTCAAGGACTCAGACTCACCCCACGGAGCCTGGCCCATACCCCAGCCTCAGCCTGTGGCCGCCGCACATCCCCTCGCTCACCGGCCTGCGGTGGGTCTTTCTCATTCCCGTTTCCTCCCCGGCTCTGGCTCTGAGCTAACCGCT